TTTCTACAGCTGGATTGGAGCTGTGCCTGCACAGCCTCTTCTCCCCACAGACACAACCTAACTTTGTAGTGCAGACCAGGCCTAATGCTTTGTTCAAGCTACTAAATAAAAACACTTGGTTTTAAGATGGCTCTTGGTCAATATTACTGATCACAGGTTCTTGAAGGGAAGAAATGCAGTTGCCCAAAACCCACTTGGACCTGCTGGGCAATAAGAAGTTGGTATAGCGTACTAAGCGGGCCGGTCTAACCATCACAAGATTCCACCCCGAGACAGATAAGGGAAAAAGACCGAACACGAGACGGGGGTGCACTTAGAAATGAATGTGACATCACAGTGAGACAAAGTATCAATGAAAAATGAAAGAGTAGCAAGGAATCCATAATAAAAGGGCACCATCTAAACTGGGTCAAACTCATAAAAACAATCTTTAATAAAATCTAAATCAAACACAAATGCTTCAAAAAATTTTTAGCAACAAATGAAAATAAAATTGCTTTAAAAACAAATGAACATAACCTGAAACGAACCACTTGGCTAGGTAAAGTGGTATAGGGTTTGAGTTTTGAGGAACATTGGTCTACCTACTATAGGGAGAGGAGGCTGTATAATTTGGATGGCCTCCACTCTAGTAAAAGAGGAAACCATCTCTTGGGAATAGGTTGGCTAGAGGATATTAATGTGACAGCAAAAGTGGAGGGTAAAAAGAGGGAAGATATGATCGTTCACTGAGGATATACTCAAGATGTCAAGAACAGCATTAATCAAGGAACCATAGGATAAGGAGAAAAGAAATTCTTTAATTGCCTAAACACCAATACTTGGAGCCTGGATAACAAACAAAAGGAATTGGAATTGCTCATTTATAAGTATATATTTGATCTATTTGGTATTGCTGAAACCCGCTGGGACGATTTGCACTATTGGAATGTTAAAATCAATGGTTATAACCTATTTAGGAAGGACTGAGTGGACAAAAGGGGAGCGGGAGTGCCACTCTATGTCAAAAATGGCATTAACCGTTTCTGAGTCACTGATCACTCAGACGAAAATTACCTTGAATGCTTATGGATCAATGTCCTAACACAAAGAAGATGGGGTAATAACTGGTGTCTACCATAGGACATCAAACCACACTAGGGAACAGGATGAACACTCCTATCTGTAAAGTGTAAGGAATAAAAGAAATGCATGATCATCGGGGACTTCAATTTGAATGACATGCTTGAGATCTCATGCTGCCAGTACTAAAACATCCTTGACATTTCTAAATATTACAGATTATTTCCACCTAGTCTTGATGGAACAAAGGGAAACTGATCACAGAACTGAAAATTAATGGTAGCTTAGGTACAAATCTTTGTGACTTGATTACATTTATAATGGGCAAACAGAATAAAGTCCAAACCATAAGTACCTATGTGGGAAACAAATATTTAAGAATGGGTTCTTCACTCTAGCAGAGAAAGGTATAACATGATCCAATGGTTGGAAGTTGAGGCTAGCCAAATTCAGACTGGAAATAACTAGGGCCCTACCAAGCCACAGTCCATTTTGGTCAATTTCACGGTCACAAGATTCTTAAAAAAGTCAATTTCACAGTTTCAGATGTTTACATGTGAAATTTCAGGGTGTTGTAACTGTGGGGGTCCCTACCCAAAATGGTGTCAAAGCTATTGTGGAGGGGTGATGGGGGGGGGTATCACTTTTGGGGGGGGGGGGCAGGGCTGGCCTTATGGGTGGGTGACCAGCCAGGGCCTCCTACCGCACATCAGGCTCCAGCCGCTAGTCTCAGCGGGGCTGGGGCGGGACAGGACTTCCTCTTCCCCCCTGCAGAGGCCGCTCCCAGGTCAAATTCAGCTCCAAGAACCTCCCCCAGCTGCAGTAGGAGAGGGGCAGGGGCCCTTGCAGGGGATGAGGAAGTCCCGTCCCTATCCAGCCTGGCCAAGATTAGCAGCTGGATAGGAGTCGTTGGCTGGGGAACCCCCAGCCCTGCCCCTCTCCTACACTAGCCAGATTTCACTGTCCACAATGCATTTTTAATGGTTGTTAACTTGGTAGGGAACTAGAAATAAGATTAAACAGAGAGAGTAACTAATCATTGGAACAATTTACCAAGGGTTGTGGTGGATTCTCCATCGCTCTCAATTTTTAAATCAAAATGGGATGTTTTTCTAAAAGATATGCTTTAAGAATTATTTTTTATGGCCCCTCTGTTTTACAAGATGCCAGACTAGATAACAACGGTCCCTTCTCGCCTTGGAATCTATGACCCTAAAATGTTTGAAGTCAAAATATTACAGTACTGAGAAGAACCTAGAAGTGAACAAGTATAAGCAAAACTAACTATTTTCCTCATCAAAATGCAAAAAAGTCAGTAGTGAGTTACAGTCATGGTAAATTTAATTTTAAAAACTTTTTACATTTACTCATCTAAGTTATTAGTAACGTGTAAACAAATGTGTTTCTCTGTAACACTATTAAGTGTCTCTTTACATTAGGAACAGAAAGGAAAGTGTACTTCACCCAACCAGAAGGCAATTGTTTTAATTACCAAACACTCCAGAGTCTGTTACAAACTTCTTAACAGGACATCATCTGTTTTAGCAGTATTCCTTCTAAATGTGACAAAGCAATTTTGCTATTGAAATTTCTATCTTTCCTTAAAGTGAGCAAACTTACCTTGTAAAAGTATTTCTCAGTCTAAAAACCACAGAAAGGTAAACCTTGCATTATTTAACAAATTACTTGAACTGGGATTTTGTTTTAATTGCTAGTATAACTTCAGTGTTGATCTAGAAGTTAGAGATATTACTTTACCATCAGCAGCAGTTTGACAAGGGATTCTGAGCAATGCTATCACCAGTGACATTTCCTGGCAGTTTCAGCCCTGGTAGTAAGATCAGTGGATAGTCAGATGTGGTCAATACGCTCCCTTCTCCCGCTATTCACAATGAAGGAACCTGCAGGACTGAATTGGCTATTGTCACTTAGAGGACAGAGAACATCTGATGATATGAGCTGGTAACTTCAATAATCCCACTGTTTGGTCTAGCAGGACACTAGCTGCGGCAGAATTCATTGGATTCTTAACCTTACACTGTGAAATAGCATTAAACAAATCACCCAGTTTCACTCCTCCCTATAACTCAGTCTGCTCAATGCTTTAGTTTAGTTTCTTGTATGTCCAGTTCATTGTGTCCTCTTAACCTCACTTTAAAGAAATTGCCACGACATCTTTGTTAGATGCATGTTATCCCTCAGAAGAGTAATGCAATGTGGAATTCAGTTACGTTCTTAAGACTTCTTATTTCCTGAAGTTGCAGATATATATCTAACAATGCCATGGAAGCAATGTCAGGGCTGGGAATTGCACATCACTGCTTGGTGACCCATTGATTTAGAAGAGGTACAGACAGACTGCAAAGGAGGTACTTTCAAGTCCTATGAAAGGGGATTTGTAACCATAAAGTAGTATCTGAGAGGTGCAATGCTTAGCAGATGTCTCATTACCAAAATGCTCAAAATCCCAACAATAAGACATTCTTCCTTGAAAACCCAGTACATCTGCCTCTGCAGCACTCCTCAGAATCAGAGGCAAGCACTAAACTCAGGTCCTCCAAGCACTGAGAAGATCTGGATCTCTTCACTTTTAGCGCAAAAGAAACCAGTATTGACCAATAAGGCGACAGTCCCACAGTTAACAAAACAGCTGTAGGGTAAAGCTAAATTACAGGAAATACATATCCTAGATGTGTCAATGATTAGTGCAGTATAAATCCATAGATTAAAAGGACCCAGGAATCCCTCCTACGCTTTTCTTCAGGACAAATTATGTTTCCATCAATGGCTATGACCAATTGGTCAGCCACTTCACAAGAATTTGCTAGAAAGGAACCGCCTCTCTCCATTTCATCTTTTTAATGTTGTCAGAATTGACTATCATTATGGTACTGGACCCTTTCATAGTCCACAAACATCTTCAGTTCTTACCACACAATTCTAAATTTTGTTTCAAAGGCAAGCATAATTCAAATCTTCCATCAACCACACTGCTAATCTAGCTTCTACATAGTAAACCCCAGAAAACTACAGCATAAGGGCTAAATGCTTAGGTCTTGCATTAATGAATTAAAAGCTTCCCTCCAGTCTCAAGTCAGATGCTTAAAAGGTGGGAGCACCTTACAGCAGGTGTGATGCAACTTCAAGCAGCTGCTGCCCTGAAGAATTTTTATTAAAGTCTAAAGAAGATAAAAAAGATACATATGATTCTGCAACCAAAGTGAAACTCTTCCTGTATAAGTGATCCTCGCCAGAGCTTTTGTTTGTTCGGGGTGTAAGAACATTTGGTGCAGGTTAAAGATGTCAGAGTTACACCCTGGGTACAGGAGGGGCAGCAGCACCAGCGCCTCCAACCTGACCAGCAGCGACCCTCACCTCCTTAGATTGTAAAGCTCTTTAGGGACAGGTACCATCTTTTGTTCCGTGTCTGGGCAGCGCCGGGCACAAGGGGCCCTGGGTCGGGGCTGAGCTCAAGTAACACAAACAATCACCGTCAATTCGGATGTGGAGGAAGGAAGCACCGGTAGGAAGAGCCCGGGTCCGTCCCTTCAACCCCCGCCTCTCTGGCCATGGGCCTCCTATCGGCACTACTGCCCCGGAACACAAGCCGGGACCGTCCCGGGACCTGCCCCTCCCTAGGCCCTGCGGGGTCAGCGGCTCCCGGAGCGCTCAGCGAGCGGGGTCCGGGCCTGTACAAGGCGCACCCCGGCCGGGCTCCGGGGCCACAGGGGCTAGAGCCGCCCCCAGCGGGACTCACCCGAGACTCCGGGCCCCTCGGAGCACGCGGCCGCCTCCTCCCGCCAGACCCGCCGCTCACCGCCGCTGGTTACTTGTTTCCCTTCCGAGCGTCCGTCCCCAGCTGCTTCCGGCCCAGGCCCCGCCTCCACCCGATGACCTCACTTCCGCTTCCCGTGTAGCTTCTGCGGTGAATCCCGCGCCACCCGGCGAGCGGGGTCGAGCCCGGCCGGCCTCAGCCATCGCGGTCGGTCAGCGGCAGTCACAGCCCGGGAATGAGCGCGGTGTTTGCATTGACCCCCGCGCCCGGAGCCAGCAGCCGGAAGTGCTGGGTGTGAGGTGAGGGAAACGGGCCGGGGGCAGCCCCAGCAACTGCAGCATCCCCGTCATTCCCTCGCGTTCCACCCTGCAGCCCACCAAACCTCAGCCGCCCCTTGCCGAGCTGCACCGGGTGTGGCTGTACGAATGACTCAGAATTGGCTGTGTAGGGTCATGACCAGTCAGCCTCGAACTGCACCTACACCATCAAGAAAAACAGGGGCAGTAGTACCTGAGAAAAAGGGTATTAGCCTTAGATTTTGCTGTGGCATATGCTCTCTCCTCCGTTGTAAACTAGTTGGACCTTTTCCTCTAACAGGCACCTGCAATAGTTACCCCCTAAACAACTTTAGCTATCACTAAAAAGGGCAGGAAGGACCTGGTTTTCAACAAGTAGATCATTACAGAAAAGGGGCCCAGTTTCCAGTTCTTGAATAAGATGGACTTCTTATTCACCTCAATTTTAGAGAAAGCATAACCCTCACCAGCACCTGTTAATGTAGAGGACTTTAGGCTCTTCCAGGATGCACAGTAAAAGTACTACTGGGGAGGCTCTTAGGAGATCTTGTCCTTGAGTCTCTCCATAGTTACTTATTTGCAATCCAGAAAGCAAGGCTAGAAGTGTTATAAACTTACTTTGTTATTTTTAGAACAGGATAAAAAGGTAAGAATTAGAAAGTGAGAAACCTCCTATAGCAAACAGAAATTTCTCACCCTGAAATCCTTCAGGCTCATGGTTGACATTAAGCAACATGAAGTAGCATAGGCAAAGGAAAGCAGCATTTTTTTTGTTTCTTACCACAAATCCAAAGTTTGACAGAAAACCAGAAAGGCTGATGCAGATGCAGCAAATACACGATATTCCAGCTTCACATATGTCATTTCTGGTCTATTTACCCTAAATATGGGACCACCCAACCGGTCATAGGAAAAAAAGCCCAAGTCACTCAAATGTTATCACTCTGCCCTAGTTCCACTGCACCATCAAAGGAGCTGTCAAGACAAAAGGGATAAAGCAAGACAAGCTTTCCTCAGAGGAAGACAGGCTCAGGCAGGGGTTAAAAAGATTAAACGGGGATACAAAAATAACTGACAAACTGGAAAAACTTGAACATCTGTTAGACTAGAACAATCTCCAAGGGAAATGGGAAGCCTGTTTAAGATATTCAGAATTTAAGTAAACAAAATACTCAATATAAGCAACAATCCTGCAATTATTGAGAGAGGGACTAGATCTTAGAATTGTAGGAAGAAGCTGAGTGGACAAAATGTGTGAAGCAGGCAAAATTTCAGATAAAATAGCTAAGTTGGGCAATATACCTAAGTGTTACTCTGCCAGGCGAGTCTAGCTCTCAAATCAACTTTTCTTGGTGTTGCAGTTTTAGTGAACTAATAGGTACATTTTCACCTCCAATAAGTTGCTGTTGGGCCTTGAGTGTTGAGGTTGTGCTTTGTGGGCCTAACAGGCTTCTCTGTTTGACCAGGGCAGTTGCATCTGTTCACCGTGTTCGAGTTAGGAACTGCTGGAAGGTTGTCTTTGAATTGATACAGGCTACTGCCTCACAGTCTCTGCTTTTTCTTACCAAGGTAGGTTGGTTCAGTGGGGTACTCAGAATACAAAAAAGGCGTTTGGTTGTTGGTATGCCACAGATTACAGTCTTCATGCTGCCTTTAAATAACCCATAAAAAACAGATGGCAATCTACATAGCAATCTTCATCTTCCTGTTGTAAATTAGTAGTAATGAGCTTGTCCTGTTTGATCAGGTACCAGGTGGAGGGAAGACTAGGGGAGGGAAATGCTTCAAGAACAGGGAGCCATTGCCCTATATAGGACTCATCATGACTGACTGAAAAATATTCCCCAATTGAGAGGTAAAAAGAAGTTACTCCTCACTTCAAGATTTATTTTTTTAAATCAATGTAAAAAAAATCTAAGCTTCATGTAAAGTCAGTAAGCCTGCTTTAGTAAGAGTACAATAATGGGGACTTTGTGGGGATGGAGGCAAATAAAGGTTTGAAATGGACTAACTTACCTTATCTATTATATTTGAAGGATGATCCTGAATTCCATTTTCAAAATGCCAAAAACTTTCAGCTTTCTATGGGTTGTGTGGATGTGCTGAGTGTTTTACAGTACCATAGTCAGTCATAAATTGTGAGACAAATTGAGTCAAACTGATGCCTGTAAAAATAAGGCTAGTCAGTAAGGTTATCAACTAGGGCTGTCAAGGGATTAAAATAATTAACAACACGATTAATCGTGCAATTAAACAGAATACCATTCATTTAAATATTTTTGGATGTTTTCTACATTTTCAAATATATTGATTTCAATTAAACTCAGAATACAAAGTGTACAGTGCTCACTTCATATTTATTTTTATTACAAATATTTGTGCTGTAAAAAATTTTTCAATTCACCTCATACAAGTACTGTAGTGCCGTCTCTATCATGAAAGTTGAACTTACAAATGTAGAATTATGTACAAAAAATAGCTGCATTCAAAAATAAAACAATGTAAAACTTTAGAGCCTACAAGTCAACTCTGTCCTACTACTTGTTCAGCCAATCACACAGACAAAGAAGTTTGTTTACATTTGCAGGAGATAATGCTGCCTGCTTCTTGTTTACAATGTCTGACATGATCATCAAAGGGGCTGACAAAGGAGGTGCTGTAGTCATAATGAACAGGTCGGATTATGAACAGGAGGCTGCCAGGCAACTCCCCAAGACCACATTCTACAGGCCACTATCCTCTGATCCCACTGAGGAATACCAAAAGAAACTACACTATCTGCTCAAGAAATTCCCAGCTACAGTACGGGAACAAATCTACATGGACACACCCCCAGAACCCTGAGCAGGGGTATTCTATCTGCTACCCAAGATCCATAAACCCGGAAACCCTGGACGCCCCCATCATCTCAGGCATTGGCACTCTTACAGCAGGATTATCTGGCTATTTGGACTCTCTCCTCAGACCCTACGCTACCAGCACTCCCAGCTATCCTCGAGACACCACCGACTTCCTGAGCAAATTACAATGCATTGGTGTTCTTCCTGAAAACACCATCCTGGCCACCATGGATGTAGAAGCACTTTACACCAATATTCCACATGAGGATGGATTACAAGCTGTCAGGAACAGTATCCCTGATGAGGCCACAGCACGCCTGGTGGCTGAGCTTTGTGACTTTGTCCTCACCCACAACCACTTCAGATTTGGGGACAACTTATACCTTCAAGTCAGTGGCACTGCTATGGGTACCCGCATGGCCCCACAGTATGCCAACTATTTTTATGGCTGACTTAGAACAACGCTTCCTCAGCTCTCCGTCCCCTAGTGCCCCTCCTCTACTTGCGCTACATTGACGACATCATCATATGG